CCAGGGAATGGGAAACAGCTTCTCCCAGTTAGATTGAGGGCCAATGAAAGCCAGGTTCTTATGAAATGGTATTCTTATGCAAGTAGGTCAAATGGGCCTGAAGATTCACTGTAGTACCTCCCTGCTCCCTAAGTGCATAACTAGTATAGATATACTTAGCAGATGGCAGGACCTTAAAATTCACTTTCTAGCCTACTGAGCAAGCTATTATAGTAGGAATGGCCAAAAGGAAGTTCCTGGAACTTTATCTTACCATTCTAGCCAATCAATTACTTGCAGAGATTATCACCAATATCAAAGGTTTTTTTTTTTTTTTTTCTCAACACACTTTATTAAGAAGGATCAAAAGCAGTTTGCTTTTATGTGGGAAGAATAGCAGTACATATTCACTCTTTTTTCCCATGGGCTATAATTCTCCTGATCTCAGTCACCATATAGTCTTCAGTGATTTTGATTGTCTTGATATTCATAGGTGGTCCAATTGATGATATAATGTTAATTTGACTGAATGAGGAGGAACAAGCAAGTACTCTAGGTGGTCTAGTAAGGCATATGGATGCCAGAGAATGGGAGATAAAAAGTGGGAGGATTTCTTTCATATTGGTGATTTTTTTTTTCTCATCTTCTAGATGGAACAAATGTATACAAATGTAAGCAAACTAGTAAAATGAACCCATAGAACTACTAACATGGTCAATCTTATTTCATCTATATCTCTACTTACTTCCTTTATCCCATATTATTTTGAAGCAAACTGGTGAAGTTATTAGAGATCCAGTAGTCTGGAGCATGCTAGGTCATCCTGTACCATAAAGGCAAGTTAGTTATTATGCCTTGTACCATCTACCACTAAGAAAATGGCATAGAGTGTTTGTGGAAAAAACTGCTCTAATCCACTTATTGGATGCCTTGGAAGGCTTCCAGGTTGTAATGAGGTCTTGAGCTCTGGTAGCATAGTGCCTAAGGCACTTGACTGCTAACCAGAAGGCTGGCGGTTCAAATCCACCAGCCACTCTTTGGAAGGAAGATGGGGCAATCTATTTCCGTAGTGATACTGCCTCGGAAACCCAAGGAGGGGTCACTATGTGTCGGGTCTGACTCAATGGCACATAACAACAATAACAACAGAGCAAGCCAGAACTGTACAGTATGTCCAACTATAGCATATACTTCCGTGCCATTTGGACCATATGACCCAACAGATTCAATAATGCTCCAGTATTCATGGTGAATAAAAATACTGGATAGAGTCTTTGATAATAGGAGAGTTTCAGTAGGGTTCTGGAGCAAAGTCCGTGCTTTCTGCATCAGAAAACTATTTGCCTTTTGAAAAGCATCTACTTGGCCTTGGTAGAAACTGAGCTCCTAGCAACGGGACATCAAGGGTCTAGGCAACCAGAGATACCCAGTATGGGCTGGATGTTGTCAGGCAGGCCCATGAGCAATCTTATCATATAATAGAAATTCAGAATCAGGAACTGAGCAGGTCCATAGAGTTCATGTAAGTTAATGAACGGGTTGCCCAGACACCTATGACACTTAATCCCAGCTATATCAACACTCTTCTTCCATCTTCCTTATTCATTGTCCAGCTTTCACATACATATGAGGTGACTGAAAATATCATGGCTTGTGTCAGGCACACCTTAGTCCTCAAGGAGACATCTTTGCTCCTCAGCACTTGAAAGAGGTCCCTTGTAGCCAATTTGCCCAGTGCTATATGTAATCTGGTAGTGTAGTGCCTAAGGCACTTGACTGCTAACCAGCAGGCTGGCGGTTCAAACCCACCAGCCACGCCTCGGAAGGAAGGTTGGGCAATCTACTTCCGTAATGATACCACCTCAGAAACCTAAGGAGGGGTTGCTATGAGTCAGGTCTGACTCAATGGCACATAACAGCACGTAACAACAACATACATTGTCTGATGTCCTGACTGCTTTTTCCATTGGCATCGATTGTAGAACCAAGCAAAGTGAAGTCTTTGACAACTTCAGTCTTTTCTCCATTTATTGTGATGCTGCTTTTATAGGTCCATTTGAGTTGTGGTGCTGGCAAAGAATGCTGAACATATGGTGGACTGCTAAAAGAACTAACAAATCTATCCTGAAGGAAGTGCAGCCAGAATGCTCCTTGGAAGAGAGAATGGCCAGACTTCATCTCACCTACTTTGGTCATGTCAGAAGGGACCATTCCCTGGAGAAGGATGTCATGCTTGGTAAGGTGGAGGGTTCATGAAAGAGGAGAAGGCCCTCAATGAGATGGATTGACAGACACAGTGCCTTCAGCAATGGGCTGGAGTATAGCAGGGATCATGGAGGTGGTGCAGGACCGGGCAATGTTTCGTTCTGCTATGCATGGGGTCGTTATGAGTTAGAGATGACTCGATGGCACCTAACAACAACAACAACAACATACCAACATTTCTCCCTCAACTCAAACCTATGGTCCCATGGGATGGTTCTCTATAACCAACTGATAGCAGAGAAAAATATTCAGGCCAGTCTGACAGACTAGCTTAATGTATGAATACTAGCCAAAAATGGATTATTATTGCAACATAGCCCCCTTGGGGTAGGCCTAAAGGACAGTCAAAATGAGAAATCATCCCAATGGGCAACGCTATAAGACAGAATACTTTGTCATTCATTTTGTATGGAGGGAGGAATGCCTCGAGGTATTGATTTATTCACACTCCTAGGCAATGGCAAATAGATTGGAACCTGTTTGGCTCTCACACATGTGCAATCTGGAAGTGCAGGGGAGTTGGCGAATAGAGATAGAACTAGGAAACAAATGCTTCCTCATTCTATATAGTTCTTTAAGAGATTCCAGTGGAATTGAACTCCAGTCACCCATTGCAATGAGGGCAAGTCAAGTGAACTGAGTGAGGTACTTGCCTCAGGTGCAAAATTTAAAAAAAAAAACAAACAAAAAACCAAACTCACTGCCATTGAGTTGATTCTAACTCATAGCAACCCCCTTTGGGTTTCTGAGGCAGTAAATCTTTAAAGAAGTAGATTGCCCAGTCTTCCTTCCACGGAGTGGCTGGTGGCTTAACTACCAGCCTTCTAGTTAGCAGTCAAATGAGTTATAAAGGTAAATAATGTTTTTAAAAATCAAAATTAATATTAAAAAACCCATGATGGACAAAATGTCAAAAGTCTAAATAAAGGCAGGATCACTATTGCTCAGTTTCCCTTTAGCCTTGGGCTCCGATATGGAGTACAGCACTGTTGCTGATCTTGGTCATTGCCAATGATCAGCTCCATTTTATGATTTTGTGTTTTATTTCTTTTCCAGTTCACTCTCTCTAGTCCTTCACTCCTATTCCCTGGGATCTTTACTCAAAATAAACTATCTCCACATAAGTTCTTGCCTCAAAATTTGCTTATTTATTTAACGTGGGGGGATGAAACTCAAACTAAGCAAAATAATGACCATATATCATGTCATTCAAAGAAGGGCATTTTTGAAAGTAAAAGGAGCTCTGGTAGCATAGTGCCTAAGGCACTGGACTGCTAACCAGAAGGCTGGCCTTCAAACCCACCAGCCACTTCTCGGAAGGAAGGTTGGGCATTCCCACTTCCGTAGTGATACTGCCTCGGAAACCCAAGGAGGGGTCGCTATGAGTCAGGGCCAACTCGATGGCAAATAACAACAACAACAACACTTTTTTTTTTTTTTTACTAGATTAATAGGCATAAACCAGAGCTATCCTGGCGCACTGCAACATATGGTCTTATTACAGATGAAGGAACAGGCTCTGAGAGTCAGAACGTCAGACCAAGAGGAAGGGCCAGCCTGGAAGCTATACAAAATGAAACCGAAATGTCCCTCAGGCGCTTAACCAGGACCTGGAGAAGCAATATATGTATACAGAGTCTCCAAAGAGCTGGGACCGTCAGCCTGGAGCTGAGTTAGGTGAACCTCATCTGCCTCACGAACCACAGGACTCAGGCCCCGGTCCCAGGCTAGCTCACACAGCAGCAGAGGTATCGCGATCTCTGCTCTTGTTGCCCTGCCAGGTCTGGGCGCCAAAACGAACCTCGTCTTCCTCTCTCCCTCACTCTGTTCCAGGTCTGAGGGCACAAGCGGCCTAGAAATCCAAGATGGCTCTGGCAGCTTGCCAAGCTAAAGAGCCCTGAGGGCGTGGCGAGAACAAGGGACTCAAAACAGAACTCAGGATAGGTGACAAGCGCGACTCCATTACAGAGCTCTCACAATGGGTAAGCCTGCGGGTTGAAGTCTTCTGTAGAGACGCCAACAGTATCCTGGGACGACTCTGGGACTACTTGGTAGCCTCGCCCGCCCCCATCTCTCTACGATCTCAGGTGCGTCTCTGACAAAGTGCGACCTTGCTCGTGCCCTCTGGGCTCTGGGTCTCTTTCCCCTTTTTCAAGGTGAGGCTCCTGGCTGTCTCGAAGATGCTGCTCTGGGCGCTGCCTCTGGTGACTGAATGGATCCCTCCTAGGACAGGTGGGGAGCGAGCTCCCCGTCCACTTGTAAGGTGTATCAGAACAGAGGGCGCCCTCTTGGCACCCCTGTCGCCGGCAAAGATTTCTCGGGAGCACCAACATCGCTGACCCGCAGGGCGCGAGTTCTCCCCTAGGTGAGCAGGCTGCTGGTCTGAGTCCATGCTGGGAAGCCTTTGCCAGTCTGCAGCCCCGCAGGCGGGAGGGCGGGAGCTAGAGGCGGAGCCAGCCCCAGAGCCCCGCCCCAACCGGACCACCGCCCACCCTCCCCTCCCCTAGCCGGGGATGGGCGTGCGGTCCAGAGTCTTTTTGTTGACTTCTAGCTCTGTGCGGAGCTCCAGGGAACGTTCCAAAGCCTGCAGCCTGTTTCCCGGGGACGTTCCCCAGCCGCGATCCCCAATTTCCTGCAGCCTGTCAATCCCTCGGGAACGCACTGACACCTCTGGGAAACGTCCCCGGCCACTCGACACTGTCCCTGGAACGCTCTTGTCACCCCTTGTTGCAAACTGAAGAACAGCGGAGGGAAGTATGCGGGACTATGATGAGGCGATCGACTTTCTGGGCGAGTGGGGGCCCTTTCAGCGCCTCATCTTCTTCCTACTCAGCGCCAGCATCATCCCCAACGGTTTCAATGGTATGTCAGTCGTGTTCCTGGCGGGGACCCCGGAGCACCACTGCCGGGTGCCGGACTCTGCGAACCTGAGCAGCGCGTGGCGCAACCACAGTATCCCGCTGAGACTGCAGGACGGCCAGGAGGTGCTCCACAGCTGCCGCCGCTACAAGCTTGCTACACTCGCCAACTTCTCGGCGCGCGGTCTGGAGCCAGGGCGCGACGTGAACCTCACGCAGCTGGAGCAGGAGGGCTGCCTGGACGGCTGGGAGTTCAGCCAGGACGTCTATCTGTCCACCATCGTGACCGAGGTGGGTGCCACCCTCACCCCCCGCCGAGGGTGGAGAGTTCCTGGCAGTGTCTGAGTCAGGGCTTCCCACCTCTAAATCTGGCCAGCTCCGCACTACAAGTGTGCAGCCCAAGTGAGCAAGGAGTCATGCAAGGCTCATTCTTGGATCGTTTCTGTCCCTAGAGTGGCTAGGGAAGAGAGTGTTGTCACCAACTGTCTGTTCCTTTCCAAGTGTCACAACAAATGATGTGGTTTCCCAAGAGCCCAGATGCTGCTCTGGAGGGGCCCCAACCAGTAGCGTCACTGAGGTTGGTGTCAACCGGTACTGTAACTCAAGGTGTCACACACACACACCATAGACGTCCTCCCATACTAAACCATACACAATCCTTAGCAATGTTTGTTATCAATTTTAATCGTATAATAATAATATGTGATAAATATAGTTGTAAATTGCTTACATGTAGTATTTCTTAGATTATATAAATACTAACAACAAAATTGTTCTGTGAAATCTTTCTACTTCGACTTATAACATTAGTTACACTATTAGTAACAGCAGACACCTTTTTAAAATTTTTCTCCTTTTCCTTTAATTACTATTTCCTTCTTTAAAAAGTTATTGATACAGGTTCACAAATAGTAATTACCACAATATTGTAAATGAACTATCAGAAACTTAGACAAAATCAACAACTATGAAAACAGCTGCTGCAACAAAACATCAGTGTATGCTTGATTTCCCTGTTTCTAGACCCTCCTTTACCTTTGGTGGAACAGTGCCTAAAGCATTTGACTACTAACCAGAAGGCTGGCAGTTCAAACCCACCACCCACTCCTTGGAAGAAAGAGGAAGCAATCTACTTCCTTAAAGACATACTGCCTTGGAAAATCAATGGGGGTAGCTATAAGTCGTAATCAACTTGATCACAATGGGTTTTTTTTTTTTTTTTTTTTTTTGCTTCTTTTTTTTTTTTTTTTTGGTTTGCTCCTTTGCTCCACATTCCTTCCAAGAAAAACCTGAAAATGGCCTATGCTAGCCCTTTATCCTCTTCTCTCACTGCAATGTGGTAATCATCAGACACTGTGTCTGGCTTTGTGCTGCTATTCAATAGTGTGTAGACATCTTGAGTGTGGGACCTGCCCTCAGAGCTCAGGTGGGTGCCCATGCAGAAAACTGATCATGTCATGGAAAGGGCCAGCATCACACTGGTTATGGTTGAATTCTGGAGCCTGAATTAAAATCCTGACTGAACTGTTGTTTGCTGTGTGACCTGGGGCAAATAAATTACTTCCTTGGTGGAGATAACCAAGTGAGGAAATACTCCAAGAGGGGGCAATAAATATACTTGGAGTAAAACTGGAACCATGAACAGAACTTGTTCAGGCAAAGAACATGGCAGATACTAGAAACTGGAATTCCGGTAGATCAGGATGGCTAGTGCTCAGGGCATTAAGGTGAGGCTCGAAATGCTCCCCACCCCCCAAAAAAATTGCCATTGAATTAATTGCAACTCATGGGCAACTGCATTCCATGTGGTTTTTAAGGCTGTGAACTTTTCAGAAGCAGATGACCAGGCTTTTCTTCCGAGGTATCTCCAGGTTGGTTTGAACTGCCAACCTTGGATTAGTGGTTCAATGCTTAACTGTTGTACCTCTCAGGGTCTCCATATGCCTACAAGGAACATACAGTTAGTAATGAGCTTTGTAAGTTTGTTGACGAGTTGACAATGAGGAAACAGTAAGGTTCTAAGCAAGGGGTAATTTGGTCAGGTTTGTGTTTTTAGAAAGCTTGCTCCAGCTCTTTCTAAAAGAAGCAAGACCAAGGGGGAGGCTGTGGAGATCACCATGGCATGAGACAGTGGTGGATAGCTGGGGGAGAAGACTGTAAAATCTGTAGTAATTGTGGGGAGTGGTCTCAGTCCATGGACCTTCTCTGGATGTCTCCAGCACTGGCTCCAGACCTGTCTTGGGCCCTGAAGTGGCTGTGCTCCTCTGGCTTTGAGCCACTAAAAGAGTTCTTAGTGCTTGCTTATCCCCTGCCTGCAGCCTGGCCCAGGGGCATCTCAGATTGGTGCCCAGCTCATCCCACCTCATTTTCTGGAATGTTTGTACCTAAGATGAAGGCTGGACCCACTAACTGCAGCCTTTCCTGCCAGCTGGGCTGGTCTGTCCATTTTCTCCTTCCTCATTGGTTTTTCTCACCTCAGGACTTGAGGAGTGCGTAGCTTCTGGCCTCCAAGTCTATAGGTACCCCAATTATCCCCTGCTCACAAGGCCCTGTGAGCACCTTTAGGGATGCACATCATGACACACTCACATACGTGCACCAGGATTTGCTTTTTTCATTTGCTTACTTCCCTTTTTTGCTTCCTTTTTGGGTAAAATAAAAGGCAAACGGGCACTGGTGGTTGGGATGAAGGAGGGGAGCAAGCACCAGGGTGAATGGGGTGAGATGGGGTGGCTTTCTCCAGAGAGGAGGTGATATGTGGAGGAGTACTGGAGTTGGACTGGATGCAAAGCCATTCCTGACTGCACCACTAACCACCTGGCTACTTCTGGCAGGTTTCATCACTGCTCAAAGCCTCAATCTCTCCATCAGCTAAGTTGTTGAGAGAACTTGGGCTCAGTGAGATCAGCTCCATGCTACATCATCTAGTGACCAGCACAGAGTCTGACATCAGCAAATGAGCATCATAGGTAGAAGTGGTAAGGGCAAGACCCTATCATCCTCCTTGCCTTCACCTCTGCCTGGGTACTATTGGCATTATGGGAGATGATTACAATGTATTATGAGCCTTGCTGGAGACTGAGCCCCGACCCTATGTTGGCAGCTACAGGACTGAGAGAGTAAGACATAGGTCTAAACTTATGGTGACTTGGCCAGTGTCAATGGGCAAAATGGTCCCAGCTCCCCAACAGGGTCAAGCTTAGGAACCCTGAAAAGATTCTCAGCATCCTGGTTTGCATGGTACAGGTAGGGGGACTATCTGCAAATTGTGTCTCTGCCTTATACCCCTTTATCTTGGATTCCAATGGGCATACCCACTGGGACAGAGAAACCCACCTGAACCAAACCTACATTCCTTCCAAAGGGAAGAGGAGGCTATCCAGCAATCCAAGGATAGCATATCTGCTGTTGAAATTCCTTTCATAGATGCCAGGAGGCAGGGATCTGATATCTGAATTAGGATTTGCATCTGTGAATGTGTGTGTTTATGTTAGTTTCCTCCTCAAGGGCTGTTAGTGAAATCCAATTTATTCATCCTAAGCCACTCCTCGGAAGATGGGACAATCTACTTCCGTAGTGATACTGCCTCGGAAACCCAAGGAGGGGTCGCTATGAGTCGGGTCCGACTAGATGGCACATAACAAACAACAAAAAATGCAACTATTAGGAGCTCTTGTGGCATAGTGCCTAAGGCATTTGACTGCTAACCAGAAGGCTGGTGGTTCAAACCCACCAGCCACTCCTTGGAAGGAAGATTGAACAATCTACTTCCATAATCATACCTCCTCAGAAACCCAAGGAGGGTCGCTATGAGCCAGATCTGACTCCACAGCAGTGAGTTTGGTTTTTTTGGTTTGTGCAATTATTAAGAATAACATTATTTTTATAATTTGTTATTTTGAATTTTTTTTTACTTTTATTTATTTTGTTGTTGAAAATATACACAGCAAAACATACACCAATTTAACACTTTCTACATATGCCATTTAATGATATTGATTACATCCTTTGAGTTGTGTAACCACTGTCATTCTCCTTTTCTAAGTTGTTCCTCCCTCAGTGACATAAATTCACTGTCTTCTAAGGTTTCTATCTAATCTTTCAAGTTGCTATTTTCACTTTGATGTCATATAAATTGTTCTTAAAAGAGCATAATGCTCAAGGCAGACATTTTTTTTTTTTACCAGTATGTGTTTTTCTTACAGTTTAGGAGGTTAGAAATCTGAGTTGAAAGTGCAAGCTCTAGGGGTGGGGTGAAGGCCCCTCAACATTAGATGATAGCTCTGCTTCTTACTCCAGGCCCACTGGAGCTGGAGGCTTCCTGTAACTCATGCAGCTGCTGGCTGCTGAGGCTGATAAACCCAAGATCGGCAAGTAGAGTAGCACAATCTCAAGATCAACAGGCACACAGCAGGCCACTGATTCAGATCCAAGAACAACTCCAAAATTGCCAGGCAACACAGCAGGCCAATGGATGAACACTCGGCCAAAAGCAGGATCCAAGCATGCCAAAAAGTTAGAGACCTTTCCCAAAGCTTCTCCTTATATACTGGAAGCAGGCCACACCCCAAAGGCAGATCCCTTTCCACTGATTAATATTTCACAGCAGATTCTACCATGGAGGTGATTACAGTCTTACAATCTCATTATGGGGAATAACTATATCTAGCTGCCAAGCCACTCAGAACCACAGCTCAGCCAAGATGACGCACAACCTTAACTACCACATTAAGCTAAACTATTATTTGATTTTAAGAAGACTTCAGGGGATGTTGGGGATATTTTTGGTTTAAGATTTAAAGATTATCTCAGGGAAATAGTTTCAGGTATAAGATAATATTTTTATTTAGAGAAAAATTATAAAAGTAGTACAGAGAGTTCACATATTATCTTCATGTAGCTTCCCCTAATGTTAACAATTCACATAACAATAATTCACAAACCCAAGAAATAAGCACTAGTTATAATACTATTAACTGAACTACAGGCCATATACAAATTTCACCAGTTATTCCCCTAATGTCCTTTTTCTGTTGTAGGACCCAATGCAGTGTCCCACATTGTATTTAGACTTCATATCTCCTTAGTCTCCTCCAATCTGTGATAGTTCCTCAATCTTTGGTTATCTGTCTTGACTTGGACCACCACTCATCTGTCAGTAGGTCATACTCAGTGGCTTTCATGTTGCTGTGATGCTGGAAGCTATGCCATCCATATTTCAAATACCAGCAGGCTCAGCCATGGTGGACAGGTTTTAGCAGAGCTTCTAGACTAAGCTTAGTGGGAAGGAG